AGCCACGGACGGGGAGCCCTCGGCTACCTCGGACGACTGGTGGACCCTCTACACTGACGGCTCCTCCGCGACCAAAGCATGCGGGGGAGGGGTAGTCCTCATTACTCCCGAGGGCTTCAGGGCCTACTATGCAATCCGCTTCTCCTTCAAGGTCTCCAACAACGAGGCCGAATATGAGGCCCTCCTATGTGGCCTTCGGCTGGCTGCCAACATGAGGGCTCGGCAGATCCACATCAAATGCGACTCCAAGTTGGTCGTTGGCCAAATCTCCGAAGAATATGAGGCCAAGGAGGGAAGAATGAAACAGTACAAGGAGGCAGCCAAGGAGTTGCTTAAAGTATTTGAGGCACACTCTCTCACCCAAATACCGAGGGCTCAGAACTCCGAGGCCGACATATTATCTAAACTCTCGGCAGACTCCCCCGAGCACATCTCCAAAATTGCCAAAATCGAGGAACTCAGCCTCTCAAGCATCCATGCAAGCCCCGTGATGAACATACAACAACGTCAGGAGGATTGGATCTCAGACATCACCGCCTTCATCTCCACAGGGCAGCTACCCGAGAATGAGACCCGCGCTAAACTGGCAAAACTGAGGGCTCCTAGCTACACCATCGAAGATGGGAGGCTCTACAAACGATCTTACAATGGCACGCTACTTCGGTGCCTTCATCCAGATGAAGCCGAGGTCACAATGGAAGAAGTACACAGTGGCACTTGCTCAGCTCACCAGGGACCCTTCTCCATGTCCCGAAGGCTCATTCTCCAGGGCTACTTCTGGCCAACCATGGCCAGGGACTGTGCTGATCTTGCCCGGAGGTGCACCGCATGTCAACATTTCCAAAAAGCTCCCGGCAGGCCAGCGGTCAACTATGCCCCCATCAGCACCTCTGTCCCATTTTCTCGATGGGGGATAGACCTTGTGGGCCCTCTGCCGAGGGGTACCTCCAACAACAGATACATCATTGTGGCCGTCGACTATTTTACCAAGTGGGTGGAGGCTGAACCCCTCGCCAGCATCACAGAGGCGAAGTGCCGTCACTTCGTCCTCAAGAACATCCTCACAAGGTTTGGCGTCCCCCAGCAGATCATCTCCGACAATGGGACACAATTTGAGGCAGCCCCCTTCTGTGCCCTTCTGGAGGCATGGGGCATCAAACACACCTTCTCCTCCGTTGCCTACCCTCAAGGCAACGGGCAAGTAGAGAATGCCAACCGGACCTTGCTCGAGGGCCTCAAAAAGAAGCTGGAGGCCGAGGGAGGTGGCTGGGTGGAAGAACTCCACAACATCCTTTGGGCCTATCGCACCACCCCTCGGCGAGCAACAGGTGAAACACCCTTCTCCCTCTGCTACGGTTTTGAAGCCAAAGCTCCTACGGAAGTCACCATTCCCACCCGAAGGGTGATCCAATATGACCCCGAGGTCAACAACAGCAACATGGCCCTCGACCTCCACCTCATTTCAGAACGCCGGGAGCAAGCCTTCATCCGGGCAGAAAACTACCGAAGGCAAGTTAAAGGCTACATCGACGCCAAAGTTCGCACCCGAGAATTTCAAGTGGGGGACTATGTCCTCCGGAGGAGGGAAGCCAGCCAACCAACCGAGGGAGGAAAAATGGCACCAAAATTCGAAGGCCCCTACATCATAGCAGCCATCATCAAACCCGGGACCTACAAGCTCAAACGCCCCAATGGGAAAGGAGTCCCTAGGCACTGGAATGTACACCATTTAGTTAAATTTTATCAATAATGTAAGAGCGGCCAAGCCCTCATAATTAGTAAATGTACTATCCTATGGCCCGAGGCCTCCAATTTCGAAGAATGAAGGTACATTCAAGACATCAAGCCCTCATACTAACTACAGGCCCCAGGCCTCACCACGAGAAAAACCCCCTCCGGCACCAAGTGCCGAGGGCGGCCGCCATCAACACCCACAACATCAGTGAAAACACCACGTGTTTTCAGTCAAGGCCCCTCGGTACCAAGTATCGAGGGAGGGAACTCCTATCACCAACAACAAAGAACGCCATGTAATGCATTTCCCTTCGGCACCCAGTGCCGAGGGTACATCCCCACCTTCAACACCAAAAAAGAAAAGATGAGAACACCAAGTGTTCCTACAGAAGACCCTTCGGCACCCAGTGCCGAGGGTACACCTCCATCATCAAACATCATCAAAGAAGACCCCTCGGCACCCAGTGCCAGGGATATGCTCTCCTATCAACTTCCAAACATTTGTTGGAAAACACCAAGTGTTTCATTTGAAGACCCTTCGGTACCAAGTACCGAGGGTAGACACCTCCATCAACTACGATAAAAGAGAACACCAAGTGTTCCTACAGGAGACCCCTCGGTACCAAGTACCGGGGGCTACACATCGAAACTAACACCAAGTGTTGTTTCTAAAAGCCGTACCCCACGAGGACGCATATACCGAAGGCGCCACCATCGGTGCCGGCGGCACGTAGTGCCCTCGGCCATTTGCAACTAGTGTGCAAATGAAAACCCTTCCTTGAAACGCTTTCCGCGTCACTACACCCAGGGTATGACAGGCATGAGAAATGCCCAAGATTCGACTTTCAAAAACGGAACGCTATCCGCGTCACTACCCCCAGGGTATGACAGGCATGAGAAATGCCCAGGATTCGACTTCCAAACCGAAACGCTCCCCGCGCCACCACCCCAAGGGTGTGGCAGGCCACAGACTATGTCTAGCGCCGAGGGGACGACTTTCAAAAATGAGGCGCTTTCCGCGCCATCCCCCAAGGGGAGGCAGGTTACGGACCACCATATCTTGTGCCCAGGAAACGTCCCTCGATCCCCTCGGCACTCGGAAGGTTAACCCGAGGGAGGAGAGCCATTGGTGTATTCTGATGGTCTCCTAATATGCCCAGCCTTACCAAGAAACCAAGTTTCTTGATGCCTTCCCTTCACCACCAACCAAAAAAAAAAAAGGGGGGGGTGAAGGGGAGTAGACTCAGCGAGAAATCAAAGAGTACACTCCAACAAAATCACAACATGCTGAGGGCTCCCCACGGGAACACCTCCGGCAATTGAAGACTCCTATTTCCCGAAGGATACTACTCAAGGAAATATCATCAGGAAACGGCTAAGTCCACTACCTGGTCACCTCCGGTCACAAAGACACCGAAGGCTTCAACAACACGAAGGGACTGGACTGTCCAAGGTCCACTAAACGGTACTTCAAACAAACACCGAAGGCATCCGTTATGCACAAATACCGAGGGCCCTTTCCCCATGACAAGGATCAAATTCTACGACTTTTAGAGTGTATGCCGAGGGCACACACTCCACATTGGCTTTCTTCACGACAACAGGATTCAACATCAATTTATGCTTAGAAAAAATTCTAAGTCCTGAAGGAGCAGCCCCCGGGCACCCGAAGGCTACACAGGGAAGCAGCACTTGAAAAAATTCTAAGTCCTAAAGGTGGAGCCCCCGGCCCAATCAATATTACAGCCAAGGGAATATGGTGACTGAAGGCCATGCAATACAACAACACTTAAAAAAAAAGAGGGTATTCTGTCCTAAATGAGTAGCCCCCGGGCATCTCGCAAAGTGATGTGGAATCAGAGGGCACCCATCACCCGAAGGCACCCAAGGGAAAATTCACACTTAGAATATTTTCTAAGTCCTACATGTATTTCCCCCCGGTCAACTACTCTTACATCAAGGAGAGATGCCATCTACCGAAGGCTCCCAAGGGGGGTTTTACACTTAGAATATTTTCTAAGTCCTACATGTATTTCCCCCCCGGTCAACTACTCTTACATCAGGGAGGGATGCCATCTACCGAAGGCTCCCAAGGGGGATTTTACACTTAGAATATTTTCTAAGTCCTACATGTATTTCCCCCCCGGTCAACTACTCTTACATCAGGGAGGGATGCCATCTACCGAAGGCTCCCAAGGGGGATTTTACACTTAGAATATTTTCTAAGTCCTACATGTTTTCCCCGGTCAACTACTCATACATCAAGAAGGGATGCCATCTCCCGAAGGCTCCCAAGGGAGACTTTACACTTAGAATATTTTCTAAGTCCTACATGCTTTCCCCCCGGTCAGCTACTCATACATCATGGAGGTATGACACCTCCCGAAGGCTCTCGAGGGAAACTCTACACTTAGAAGATTTTCTAAGTCCTACATATTTCACCCTCATCTCAACGGACCTAATTGCCGAAGGCAACCTATCAATCGAGGGCTACAGTTCACAAGAAATCAACACTCAAGAAAATCTTCTAAGTCCTAAAAGAATTAGCCCCCGGCCTATTCAATATTACAGGTGGGGCTCCACAGTAGCCGAAGGCTACATGGCATACTACACTTGCAAAAATCTCTAAGTCCTGTGCATTGGGCCCTCGGTCCAACATTCACACATCAGGAATGGACGTCGTATCCCGAAGGCTCTCAAGGGGGAATCTACACTTAGAGATTTTTCTAAGTCCTAGGAGGTGGGTTAATAAAAACGCCCGAAGGCCTCATGCTGTGCTACACTTAGAAAATATTTTCTAAGTCCTAATTGCTGCCGAACCATCGGTTGCATATCCAGCAGAGGGTGCCCAACTACCGAAGGCTCTTAAGGGCTAGCTACAATCAGATAGTATTCTAAGTCCTAGACATACATTCAAAGGAGAAGACATACATTCAAAACATAAGGCGTATTCGAATATGAAAAGCCCGGAGGCAGCACGCATTTCATCAAAAAACAAGAGTAAGTGTGAATTTACAAACGGGCCGAAGCCGAAGGAACAATGTTGTTCATTACAAAAGATGTTCAAAGATTTCTAAGTACAAAGTCATTCCACAACTACGACAACATCGTTCACTGGGGCGCCCTCTACAGCCGGCCTCGATGATGCCTCCGCTCCGGTCTCGACAGCGTCGTCCTCGGCCTCATTCTTCAACACCGTGTCCTCAAGGTCGGGCCTCTGAACACCTTCCGGGAGCGGCTCACGGACATCAGGCTGCAAGGGAGGAAGGCCATACGCCGAGGGGGAGAAGTCTTTTTGCTCAATGCCCAAATGCCGGGCCATCCTCCGGTAGATGAGGGCCTGGGTGAAGAATTCGTCGGCTTCATAGTACTCTCTGCCCTTCCGGGCCATCCATTCCCACCCAGGGCCCTCGGCCCATTCTTCAACGCAGGCCTCCACGACCGAGGACACCCACATCTTGCGCCCCTCGGCTCTCCAACCCTCGGCGACAAAGGCCTCAACGGCCTCCTCCTGAGCCTTGGCGACAGCTAGCGCTTTGGAGTCCTCGGCCTCTTTAGCAGCTCTCCTGGCAGCGGCCTCAGCATCAGCCTTGCCTTTCTCTGCAGCCTCCAGTTTCAAGCTCATCTGCCGGAGCTCCTCTTCTAGTTGGGCCCCCAGCTTCACCGCCTCTTGGTTCTTGAGGAGGCACTCCCTCATTCTGGCGTCTTGCTCCGCTCTGTGGAGGCGCCATTCTTGAAGCCTCCGAGCCTGATCGCCGAGGGCTAAGCAAGCCTGCAGAACAACAACAAAAACAGTTAAAGGCAGTCACACAAAATAATAAAAGGAGAAGATGGAGAAAGCCAGGTAAACACTTAAAGAGAGGGAGGAGCGGAGAATGTGGTCCTCGAGGGCCACATCATTATAGGTCCCGATGGCAGCCCTATCCGTCTCAGGGGTCATACCCCTCAGGATGGCCCCCGGGTCGACGGCGCCGCTGGCCAAAGATGTACCTCTCGGGAACGCGACTGTGAGGATCTCAGGCAGCGACTCCTCTGCCCCCGCCGGCGTTCCACCCGGCAGCTTCTCCACCTGCACCCCGGAGGCGGGGGGCTCATCAGCGATAATGACCGAGGGCTCCTTCTCGGCGACATCCCCCTTTTTCGGCTTTTTGGTAGCCGGGGGTGGCCCCTTGGTCACTGCCTTCCTCTTGCCGGCAGCGGCATCGCCCTCGGCTTTCTTAAAGAGGGCGGTGGCGGGCTTCTGGATGCCCTGTCCCGACCCCTTCGGGTCCTGTTTCTTCAAACGGGCAAGGCCCTTTACATTCACCATGGAGACGGGGATACCTGCACAGAGGAGACAAAGGGTTAGTCCGACGGGTCTAAGCGAAGGGACGATAACATCCAAGCAAAAGAAGAAAAAAAAAACTAAGCACAAAATTCTAAAGCCCTCGGCTCCTACCTCCGGCCCCTCCGAAGGCCTTGTTGAAGGGAGGGTACTTTTCATCGGTCTCCCCTATGAAGCGGTACCTCTGGAACCCGAGGGTGTACAAATCCTCCTCGAGGGTGCAGTCTTTGATCGCCACGTTCTTGTTTTTCCCTTCCGGGAACTTGGCCAGCTTTAGGCCGTCTTTCTCGAGAGCGGCACTCCGGATCTTTTCGTGCCTTCGGAATCGGTCACGTAGCTCCCTCGGGAAGGGGCTCTCATCCAACTTCACGTAGCACCAACGTTCCCTCCATCCTTTGTTGGAAGAAGGAGCATCGGAGAATAGTTTGAAGCGGGCAATCTGCTGCAGGTTGGCGTACCCCTCGCCGTTTTCGTGCCCCCCCCCCCCCCCGGCACAGATTAAAACTCTGGAAGAATAGATCCAGGCTGGGCTTCACCCCTCGGGACTTGCAGAGCTGAAGGAACCCCGCAATGTAGGAGTGGCTGTTGGGCGTGAGTTGGCAGGGGACCAAGCCAACAAACCACAAATATTCCCGGAGGAATGGGTGCAGAGGGAACCTAAGTCCCATGGAAACCGAAAGGACGTGAATAGCGATACACCCCTCGGGCGCCCTGGACAACACGTCGTCGGGACCTGGCTCCACCACTTCGGCCGAGGGCCCCACGTGCAGCTGAGTCACGTACAGATCTGCCCTGTCAGCCTTCGACCTGATCTCGAGGGCCTCAGTGTTCAGCCAACTATACCCCTCGGGCATGTCCACGGGCTTTCCTTGATCGACGGCCCTCTCCTTCTTCTTGGTAGCGGCCTTCTTCTTCTTCTTCACACCGGAAACCGCCCTCAGAGGTATCGGATCCAACGGCCTCGAGCTACTGGCCTCCCCGGAACCCCGAGGGGGGAGAACAGCAATCGTAACCTTCGAGCTCTCATTCTGTGCCTCATCCTCCGCTGTCTGCCAGGCGAGGGCTAAGTCTTCATCATCGCACTCCTGCTCGAAGCCCTCGGCTTCAACCTCCGCAGTGAGTTCCTTCTGGACCTCCCGGGCCAGGGCCGCATCACCACCATCCGAGGGTTGACCACTGCTTGACTCCACGTCAGAGATGCCTTCGTCCTCCATCGAGGGCGTCCTCGAGATATCTTGAGAATCACTCTCGGACGACATTCGCGCTCTAGTTCGAAGGCTCGTACAACTAGTGTTTTCTAAATGTTCTATCTCCTAGCCTAGGGGCGCAGTACAGGTAGCTAAGAGGTGAAGGGTAACTGGAGGACTGACCTTAAGAACAGAGGATTCAACCGGGGGCTGTTGTTTCTCTCTCTAGAAAAATTGGCAGAGCTTCGCTAACAAGTTTTTCGCACACAGAGGAATGCCCGGCCTTGGGGTATTTATAGGCGATAGAATCCGGGCTTGGGCCTGGATTCCGGGCCTCCGGATGGACGCCATCATTACGCACCGTCGTTTCACCCAACCGGTGACGCCGCCCACGAACAGCTAGCCATCACACGCCACGTGTGCCATCCCCCCAACGGCTATATCCTGTCGTTACGTATTCCAACGGCTATATTTCCAACGGCTATATTCTGGAAGCCCCCGGGTTTTCTACTTCACTCCACTTCATCAAGGATTGCCTCCGGTTGCACTCACCCAGAAGTGCCCCCGGGTTGTGCCCCACACAGCACATTACACACGCCTTCGGGATCACTCCTTCAGATCCCCAGGGCTGCATATCAGGGGCACCCCTCGGGGTTTCCCCCTCAGCACTGCAAAAACCGGGTAGCCCCCGGGGCGTGCCTCATTGACGGAGGGCCCATGGCACACAGGTAATGGGAGCCCTCGGGTATCTTCATCATCAACTCATCAACGAACAGTGGACCCCCCGGTAACAACTTCACTGTTGCCCTCATCTGGCAGGCCCTCGATCCCTGAATTGAGGGGCTCCCCTTCGGCACCACCAGGACATCAACAGCAAGCCTTCGGCAAATCAACACAGGAGCCCTCAGAAGAGAGAGCCTTCGGCATTCCCGTCTACTCCATTTTTCACCGAGGTTTGACATTTTCGATTCATCATTGGGGGAATTCGGTGCACTCTTTTTCCCTCATTAGGATTTTTTCCCAAAGGGTTTTTCCTAATGAGGTTTTTAACGAGGCATCCCCCCAAAATGAAACGAAAAGCGTCAGCCTTCGGCCCACAACAGCAACGTAACTGCTTTACTCCTTTTCACCACTTTACAAGTGCCTCAAGGAGTGGGGGACTGGAGGACCCCTTCGGGAAAATCATTAAATTACAACAAAGCAAGCCCTCAAGTCCCGACATGTGGGTAACTGAGGGATTGCCTTCGGCAGGGACATAAAAGCAACAACTCCTCACCAACTTCAGAGATCACGACAGGACAACATCAAAGGGCAAGCACAAATTACTCCTTTTCCCTCAAGTACCTTTCGGCAAAAGGAGTGAGGGACTCCTGATGGAGTATATGGCCCGGGAACCCCCGGCCCACAGACTCCTACTACTCCAGCAAAGGCCCAACAGGCCCAACAGGCCCAAATTACAGCGCCCAGAGTACCAAGCAGTCCGCACAACGCACAGGGGTGCCTTCGGACCCCTGGCCGAAGGCTCCAAATTGTCACAGAGCGGGTTTCTCAAGCAAATTAAGAAACTGGGAGAAAACGTCGAAAACAGTAGCCCTCGGTACTGTGAGCCCTCGGCACCAAGGTGCCCTCGTTGAGAGGAGCCTTCGGCTACTGCCCTTTGGCCGAAGGCATCTCACTCGACAAGATATCCGCCTCACATGCGTACAGATCACCGTACTCTGCACAGACGTCCCATCCAACAGCCGCATTAAATGCGACCACATGCGGCTGCCAGCGCCAACCAATTGAGGTGACCCCTCGGCCAATGGGCGCTTGACACGTGTCCCTGCCCGGCATTTATTACTACTATAAATAGCACCCCATTTCCCCATTTGTGACCACGCTGAAAAGTCATAACACTCTGAATACACTCTCTCTCTACATTTAGTTACTTGCTTTGACTTCTCTCTAGATTATTCCCGGTAATAACCCTTCGGATATATACCCCCGGGTAGACTATCCATCAACTAGCTAGGCTTATTCTGGCCTACTTGTATTTTGATATCTATTTCCTATATATACATCCGGGAAAGATTTCCTATGAGAGCATCATGTTCTATTATTTTATATTGTATCTAGAGGATAAGTTTAAAAAAAATCCGATGTTTCTCTCTCTTCTTTTACGCCGTCTCTGCATATGGCGAGTGAATCGGACACTTTCTGTGAGTTGGCGACCAACTGAGTTGAATTGCACACGAACTAAAATAGAGCCGGAAAGATAAAAAATAAATAAATTACTCTCACTTTAATTTCTTTTATCTTTGTATTGGGTTTTTAGGAAATTTTTATACTCAATTTTGATAAACCGGACAGAATTTCGCTTTTAAAAAGTTATAGTTTTACTAAATTTAATGTTTCTATTTTTGTTCAACACTTTTTCATTGCAATTTTTCCAAAAACTAATCTTAATTCAATAAATTACACTCGCAAGTGATCTTTTTATTTCACATAAGATTTTGAAATACGATATTTATTTTATTCAGTGGGACGAGGGGTCATTAGTTCTACAGTGATTTTTGGTTATTCAATGTTCGTGAGTATAATTTTTTGTTACAAAATCGAAGTCTCATAAGCAAGTACTAGAAAGAGTTTAGTTTAGAAAAATATTGGAACGAATAGGAAATAAATACGGAGTAGAAAAATAGAGGGTGATGTTCGAATATTTGGGGCATCAGAAAGATCAAAAGTCACGTGGCCAGAAGAGGCTGATGTCTGAGAGGGAGCATGTGAGGAAAATGGGAATAAAAATAATGAATATATATGGCATCTATGTTATGTATCTGCCTCTCTCCTCTTCTTGTACTTCCGTTTGTGTTTTCTACCTTCCTTCCCTTTCTATGTAGGAAGGAAGATTTGTAATTAATTAATTTTAGTTCATAATTTTATTCGCTTATAATTTTGATCCTATAAGTAATACGTTTGTCTGACTTAAGAATTTCTCGCTAGAGAGTACATTCCATTAAAAAAAGTACGTAGTATCAGACATATCATAGAATTTTCTCTCGGGAGTGTACTTTCGGTAAAAATCCTTAAATAGCAAAACGTAGTTACATGACCAAATTCGCAACGAGTGGAGATACATGACTAATAGTAGGCACACCGCACACCCAAAAGTTACGAGACTACAATTTTAAATATCTCTATCTAAGAGTGGTAAATTAAAACCCTAAGGGGTTGTTAACTTTTTATTATAGATAAAATGTCTTAGATAATGCTAGGCTGTGTTTATTATCAAACTTGACGACCATACAAACAAATCAATGCTCATGCTAGAATGAGCAATGCGATAACAAACCAATACAAATAAAATTAACACTCCTTGAAAAATTACTCTCTTGAAGCAAGTTATTGATCGCCTGTGATGCATCTGCCTCGACGTCCACAGAGTCTCGGCCCAACTCAAAATGTCCTTGAAAATTGACAACCATAGCTTCATCTTCCCACACTATCGATCACCGCACCTCTCCGAGTCACGAAGAACCCAACCCAAGCCTCTCTTTTCCCCTCCTTGTACGTGTTGGGTTGCTTATGCGTCCACCATCCCCCGGTCCAGGGGCGGAGCCAGGGCACAGGGCGGGACTAGACCGGTAAAGAATATTTTTGGAAAAAAATTTAAACAGAAATTTTTACACTGGAAATTAAGGCATTTTTTAAATTTGGTGTGGACTAAGGCCTAGGTTGGTCACCCCCTATCTTAGCCCATGCCCCGGTCCAAGTTAATTAATCATGTAACATGTAATTCAAACTGTTACATATAAGATCAAGGAAAATTCTATGGTACATCTCTAAATTTCGCATGTACGGTACATCTCTAAATTTCGCATGTACGGTACATTTCTTTACGTAGGCAAATAAAACAATGCCACATGGACATTAAAATTCATATATATTTTAATTATTTCCATGTGTAACAATATTATTGATCCGCGTACGGTACAATTAAATTAACGGATGCACGGTAGAACTCCCCTAGATCAATTGTAACATGTTCTAAGAAGTTAAGCCTTCCATCGTAAGTGGTGTGTTAACATGATTTGTTCAATAAATCCGAAAATGGTGCGATTCTTGTGTTATGTAATTTCTATATGTTTAATAGATATCTTTTATTTCTTTTTACTATGTCGTGTACTTACGAAGTTGTATGTAAAGAGATTGGTTAGCTGGCATCTGAAACACTATTGCGGGGAGGGGGGATTCATGAGACGTCATTGATGCAAAAATGGCTTCCCTATGATACTAGTTTTGGCTTTACCTGTCTCTTTAGTGTTTTGTTAGTGTTTTGTTGTCTTCAATACTACTATTTTGATTGGTATGCATCCTTTTTATCATTAATTGTTGCAATCTTATCAAGTGCAATTTGCTTCCCTTGGGCTCAATTGCAAGATTTGTAGAACAACAGGGTAAGAATTGATAAACTCAAATACGATTTAGGGTGGAAGACGTAATAAAAATTTTAAATTTTATGAAAACATATCATTGCAGCAAAATATTAATGGTGATAGAGTATATGGGTCTGAACACACGACTCACATACTCATGAATACACAAACAAGATTAAAAGTTATGGGAGTTCCTTCGGCTGGGCTCCATCGACCGGCCGAGCTGAGGGCCACGGGCCACCTCATAGAAAGATCACTAGATATGAAAACTCCAAACATGGATCCAAATAAGCTTGTGAATGGTCACCACAGCTTGACCACCTTGGTCTGATCACCTCAGCTAACGCCTTCAACAAATAGCTTTCACATTGTACTTAGCAAACAGATTAACTTCGTGTAAATAACCACTTGATGACACATCATTGTAATCGAGCCTCCTAGGCCCAAGACCTGAGAGCCCGATCCAACCCACTTCTCCTTTATAAATACTCCCTTTGTGGGCAGTTATAGGGGGTGAAAAACATTGAATGCAAATATTTCTCCCTACCTTTAACTTTTCTCTAGAATATTACTCTATCAAATGGTTATTGCACAAAATTAATTTACGGATACGGGATACACAAAAAGATCCTCGGCGTGATACTATGTTTGAAGTGTCCTCGGCGTTAATTAAAATTAAGATATACGTGACTAATGCAATTGAAAAAAATAATTCAAATACCCCAAACTTGGGAAAACTGTCAAATAGGTCCTCGAACTTTTATAAAAAAGTCAATTAAGTCTTTCTATAAGAGGTCCTGTCCGGCCGTCTCAATTTGGGGCAGTTCTCGGTAGAATGTTTTTATGAATTTTTTTGAGCATCTTATTCACCAAGTCTAGTTTACTCATACCAAATTTCAGCTAAAAATTCAATCATGAACTCATTCAAATTAATTCTTGAAGATAACTGCGCATTTTTGCGTTCTCGAATTAATTTGAATGCGCTCCCGATTAAATTTTTAGCTTAAATTTGGTATGAGTAAACTAGACTTGATGAATAAGAGGCTCAAAAAAATTCATCAAAAAATTCCACCGGGAACCGCCCCAAATCGCGACGACCGGGCAGAGTCTCCTATAAAAGGACTTAATTGACTTTTTTTATGAAAGTTCGAGGACCTATTTGACAGTTTTCTCCCCCAAACTTTAATGGGGTGTGAGATGTGTACCCCAAACTTGCATAAGTAATATATATACCCCAAACTTTATATAAGAAGTTATTTTTGCATCATGATTATATGTTCTCACAAATACAAATTTATTGGAATAATGATATAATTTAAAACACCTTAAGCCTTGTTAGAATGCAATTAACATTCTAAAATTTCATTTGTGAAATAAATAATATTATATCTGGTACAATCTAATTTTAATTGCATCCTAATAGATGTTTTGTGTATTTAAAATTATGTACTTAACACCATAAAACTACATTTATAAATAAATATATGGTCATGATGCTAACATAATTTTTATATAAAGTTTGGGGTATATGTATTACATGTCTAAGTTTGTGGTATTTATGTCACACCCCTTCAAAGTTTGGGATATTTAAATTATTTTCCCCAATTTGACATATTTATATCAAGTACGAATCACAGTTAAAAATTCAGATGTTGAACATTGATTTTTGAGGAATTATGATGTTTTTACTTGGACTTATTTCAGTCCCAAACAAGACCAGACTTAAGCAAATCTGACCAGACCAAACCAAACTTCGACAATTGTAAAATACACATATACCAGACATCTACCAAGCCACACCAATTCAGACCAGGCCACACTTGAAAATTTCAATCCAATCAATAACATCCTAAGCTTTGAAATGACATTATATTTAAAAATAAAATTGAAATGAAACTATATGTTAACTGTTAATATAATAATATCACTTCCAAATCACATTTTCGGACAATCCTAATCTCAGACCTTTTAATTTATAACTTGAAGTATCCTCTAATTTATTTAACAGTGGAGATCAAGGAAGGAAATCACACCATACAAAATAAAGAAAGAAATTAACGTACAAAAATGATTTAAAGAGAGTTACAGTTGATACTCGGTGTTAACAGATAATGAACAATGGTATTGAGGGACTGTCATGTACTGGTATACAGTTTAATGATGTTATAACTTATGTAGTATTACAGTTTAATGCATACCTTATAATATTAAATGGAAAATGGTATTGAGGGACTGTCATGTACTGGTATAAAGAATTACAAGATGTAATTTTCACGCTATACTGTACGATAAAATGTCAATAGAAAATGAGTCAAATGATTGCGCAAGAGGAAGCATTAGGCCAAGACCCAAGAGTGTAAGCAGTTGACCACTTGACCCAGCACGGAATAAATTAGTACCAAAGCCCAATGTTAAACAAGCAAATCGACCAAGTAGAGCAATGGCAAAAATAACTACTTCTAATCCGTATCGTACAAATGTAAAACATAAAATTAGTATTATTATTAGCATGTTATTACACCTATAAACCACAACAGAAGCTTAACGCTTCCTCTTCGATTTTGATGTCTGATTTGTAGAGCTGCTCTTACGTGACACCCCATCGTCCTCCTCATCTTCTAGTGGGATATGGTCTTCAATTTTTTCAGAGAGGCGATTTACCAGCTTCCGTAAAGACTCTTCTGCCCATGCATGGGTGTTGTACTGAACATGTTTCTCCAGCGAGTAGCCAGGCTTACAAACATACTCTACCAAATAATCAGCTGAAACACAGGGTATGTTGTGCCTCAAAAACTCTTGAACCCACACATCTTGGCGTGGTATTCCTGGACCCACAATAGCAAAGTGAATGTCTGACTTGAGGAAGCGAGTGTATGACGGACAGGTTGCTAAAATAGTGCCATCTCCGGCCTTGACCACCCGCTTCAAAGTATCCTGGTTCATCATCATTAAAAAACATGCATGAAGGGACCTTTTAAATGGATGATTATCGTTGCTTATCTAAACTGAATATTTGTCGGGACAGACGGACATTAAAAGGTTGGTACAAATGTTAACTTTTTTGTATCCACCAAGAGTCCATGAAGTAAAAGGAGGTTGATTAGTTAATACACATAGTGGCAAGTAAACAGTTGCATACCAGTGATGGCAGAAGAAGCTCTCCATATGTCACAATCCGCATCCCATAGAATGCGCCATGACCAGTTCTTTCCCTCAAGAGTCGCCATTTTCTTGGTGCTTCTAAGCTGATGGCTAAATCATCGGATAGTCCCTTCTTGTGCCATTCAAATGGTTCCTCTTCCAAGAATTCACCCGCCTCGTTGCAAGCGGTTAGATAATCCACCTTCAGTATCCACCTGCAATGGATGGAAAAAATGGTGAAGTTAACCTTTCTTATTTATATTAAAACTATATATTTAGGGTGAGAGAGATACCTTCCAGAGGCAGCAGCAGCGAAAAACTTTTCAGTCCGGCGAACGGGATCTGGAAGTATGAAATGAGTTGCCTGATATGACCACTGGTGAGAATCCCTGCATGATCTCCCTCTTAAACGTTTGATGACCATATGAAACTCTTTCCTCTGCAGCCTATGCCCGGAAACTATGAAATATCTATTCTCTGTTTTTCCCACTCCTTCACTAGGCTCTTTATACGTCAAAGGGGTCACTTCTCCAACTCCATGTTTCACATTGCTCACAGATAACCCTTCTGTAACATTTCCTTGCCCCTCTCTGTCATCAGCCTTGCAAGATTTTTTATGAGGAACCTGAGTAAATTTTTCCACCCCCTGTATCTCACATTCCATGGTTGGCTCTCTGGTAACACCACCTGGCATATTTTCCTTGTCAGCTTCCATGAAATTGTTTGTTTGTTTGTGTGCTACTGCCTTACTCTTTCCACTTGTGACTCTTTTCTTTGTAGAACCTTCTTTAGATTGTTTTGGTTTCTTAGCAACTGATACGGCTTTCTTGTTTTTACTTGATGTGCATGTTGTGTCTTTCGTCTCTTTTATAAGCCTAGTTACATTGTTCGTAGAATCAGTCTGATCAACCATTTTATCTCGAGCCCCATTTTCTGTCTTGCACTTGTTACCTTCCTCTACTGAATGTGGTGATTCGACATAATTAGGCTTATCACTAAGGACTGTGACATGTAACTCGCCTTTGTCATCTGGAGCTTCAGTTTTATCAAACAAGTCTTGAGTTTGATCAGCGTCAGATTCTAAAGATTCACTTTCCCCAGACTCTTTGCATATAGTATCTTGATTATGCAAATCAGGAATCTCAACCTTCTCACAATTTATATCTTCATTACCTTTCACCATTTCCCCTCCGGTCAGATTGGCTACACACTCTTCGGTCTTGTTTTGGAAAATAGAACCCTTTTGATTTCTAGCAGGCCCTTTAACCGAAGTCTTATTGTATTTCTCTGTCTTTGTGGAAAGAGATTCTTTCCCAAGCTTTCTGGACTGCAGTTTTGACATTTCTGCTCCTTTGGGTACTTTTTGGTCAGTGAACTCAATAGAATTTTCAGCTTCCGTTCTGCTTGCAGGTGATGTGGCTTTGATTTCTCGTCTTTGGACATCTGTACACCCATCTTCCATAGTTTCAGTAAAATGAGTTTCATGTGTTTCCTCAGTGCAAAGTTTCTTGGCAGTATCTGGAGTATCACTGTTGAAGATTTGAACAGGAGACCTCTTTTTAGGAACAATGGGTGCATTATTTGCATTATGAACAGCCATTAATCCTTCGGTTCTTTGTGCACGAGTTTCCTTTACCTTATTTGAACTACTGGATAGAGTGGCCAAGTTTCTTTTCTCTGGTAAAACAGAACTCTCATCGCGCTCATTATTTAGTGATGTTACGATTTGGCTCTTATTATCTCTTCCTGCATTTGCACTGGGAGGTGTTACGATTTCTCCTTTCACTTCTTGCATAACAAGACTGTTTTTCCTTTGGGCCTTTCTAGCATAAGTTTTTTTAGTCTTGTCAGGAGTAGTTTGCTTGGTGCAACTAGTGCCAGGTGCACGTGCATCACTTTTTAGTAGATGGCCAGGAGGTTCGGATCCACTTCCAGCAGGTGATATCTTTTTGGTGTTTTCGTCTGATAAAGCTCTAGAGCCACTCAGATTTAGGTCTTCAGATGGATATTGCTTTTTGAAGGATCGCAGAAGAGTTTTTGTATTTTGTGGAGATGCCCTGATACTTGAAGTGGTTAAATTTAAACAGTCCTGCTTTGAAGGAGATTGATGGGAACTTGTTAAATTGTGCTGAGTGGTAACAAATTTTTTCTCTACATATGATTGTGCAGGAATGTCTTCTTCTTCGGAGTCCTTAGCTTCAGCTCCCATCATCTCCACTTCATATCCACTATGAAGAGAGGGGAAAAGTTGAATATGTCAGCATATGATTGATTTTTTATTTATAGAAAAGTTTGATATTATTAAATGTCAAACAACAGAATGTTGATACAATGGCACTGAAGGTATAGCGACTAGAGGACTCCCTTCATAAAAAGCACAAAGTAGTATTCCGAATTCAATTTTCATGGAAAATGATTATTTATATCTCACCTCAAATCGTACTCAGCTTCTGGAAGTAGAGCCCAAGATTTTAAACTGCAGAAGAAAGTAAATGAGATAAAGTGTTACTTTAAAATTGAGTTAGATGGGAGTTTGTTTTTAACATAAAAATGACAGCTGGGGATAAAATCCTGATTTAAGCACAACCAAATTAATTGGAGAAAAATCAAATAGAGACATACCAATCCTCCAACCACAGATGGTTGACCATCTTTATATTTGTCAATTTCTTGGCAAGCAGATATTTTTCTCCTGTTAAATGGAAATTTGTGCATATGGTATAGCATTAAGTGTGACTTTAAAAATCAAATAAAATTTTAAAGCAAGGGTTCACATACACTATAGGAACACATATACTATATGTGTTTAAATATGGCTAACAAATGTTCAGCATAACTTGTATTATATGAATGCATGATGGTAGTTGCAGATATTTTGTTATTAATGAAACCAGTAGCTGAAGAAGGCTTCAAAAATGAGGACAAGCATACCCTCGAACTTGTAGCATACAAGATGAGTAACCTGGGTTGCAACTAATGGCTTAGAAAAAGTGGCACCCATCAACCCAACCAAATTCTGCAAATAAGAAATCATCAATTAGTAAGGTTGCGCAAAATGAAGCAGGAGGAAAGCAATAATTCTAATGTTCTTGATTACACAAAACACATATACAAAAGAATAGTTTATACTAGGGTGCAGATGAGCAAACCATGACATAATCCCGTTGGCCCCGAATATATCCAGTAAGGCACATAATAAGAGATTTGGCACCAGGAATGCCATTCAAATCCTTCAAAGGTCTATACAAAACCTGCAGGCAACAATAGTATAATTAAAACAACATTGTAGGCACTCAAGCGATCTTTACATGAGAATAGAAGCATATGTTAGCAGGCTGATATGGACAAGGAGTAAGATAACTTACATGAGTAGGATCGACTAGCTTTCCCACTGCGTAGGAATCATCAACCCAGAAGCTAGTCACCACCACTTTCCCATCTGTTCTAGCAGATACACAAATTGGATCATCCTGCTCCTCACAAACAAGATGCCAACATCATAATCCAATTACTATTGAGGATAAATTAATAAGGTCGTCAAAATTGAGCAGACCAACTAGAGATTTCTCACTCACATAGACGATTTTGTCAACAATGACATGAGTGCAATCTGGGCAATAACTGCCGACGTCCAAGCCACCTCCATCCAATAGCTTCAACTGAACCTGACAATATTCCGGGGGGGAATACATAAACCTAAACCTTTAGCAACTACGCCGAAAGTCCGAAACACTGAAATGGGTATTATAATAAACACTCTGTACCTGTTCTTGCTTAATGGGATCAAACCCACATAGAACAAAACGGACTCCCACGAATGTACTAGAAGGGTCATTCTGCATAACCTCTTGCGTGCTCCTCCTGTACATCTTGTTCTCGGTATCAGTGGCAAATAGTTTGCATAGACCGAAGCGAAAACCTGTGAGAGTATCCGCCCAAAGAGACTTCAATCGAGAACACAAACTTGAAGAAAACGATATAGGGGTAGCGAATTGCGGGGGAAAGGCCAAAAGCTTGGGCGAATTAGAAAGTTTCAGAGACCGCTTCGTAAGCTTCTCGGAGAAGCTGGGAAGTTGAGGGGCAAATCCGAAGTTTTAAGAAAATGTGTGAGGGGGGGAAGCGTGAATTTGATTTGTGGGTTTTTCGTTTTGATTTTTGGGTGGATGAATCAACTGGCGGGAGCCGCAATTTTTGGGATGATGAGTCACGCTAACACGTGTTCATTGTATGCCGTCTTTGATTTTGGGCATCACTCCTACAACTCTACAAGCCATATATATATGCATACTGAACTTATCTCATGAGTCCGGATTGACAAGAGCACCGTTTTAAGTGATTCAGATTGAATAAATTATTGAAAAATAATGTGCTTATATATAGAGAGTAATGATATTGTTGAATTGGAGGGACAGGAACATTAAGTCATCGTCAAATCTAGTTTATCCATAAAAAATTTCAGCTAAAAATTCGATCAGAAAGACGGTCAAATAATTTGTTGAAGATAACTGCGTCAAATTATACATATAAAACGCAGTTATTTTTAAAAATTTATTTCATTGTTTTGACGATCGAATTTTTGTATGGATAAACTAGACTTGATGATGAACATTCTCAAAACATTTCATCAAAAAACTCCACCGGGCCCCAAACGGCGGCGGCTGGACGGCGCCTCTTGTCCATACAAAATTTCAACCAAAAATTCGATCCGGATGGACAAGATTTTTTCCCATATGTGTGTGTGCACACACAAACATATAAATATCGCATGAAATTTTTCTTATAAAATTTTATGATCATATTTTTCATGAAAAGTAGATTATATCTACTAAATTTCAGCTAAAAATCAATCTGAGAGTCAGTAATATAATATTTTGAAAACAATTGTGTTATATCTGTGCGCGCACAATTATTTTCAAATATTTATTTAATTGGCTTGCCGATTGAATTTTTAACCGAAATTTTGTGGAGATAATTAAATAGGACTAAAAGTCACCCACTTTGCACAAATAGGACAAAAAACTAAACTATGTTTTCATAGGACTAATTATGTGTGTCTTGGACAAATATACCCTTCTAGCTATTGAAATGTTTTAATTCATAATAAAATAATAAAAAATAATCAAAAATCGTAAAAAATTCTAAAAAACTAATAAAAATATTTCGAACATAATAATTAATTAATTTATTTATTTTCAAAAAAAATTAAAAAAAAAAAAAACTCAAAAAAATAAAATAAAATTCACCGCCGCCTCTGCCGCCTCTGCACCACCACCTCCAGTCACCGGGGAAAAAATGCCAAGTTCATTACGAATGCCATATTTATGGAGAAAACAATGAAAATGTTGGCATTCTCAAAGAGAAATATGCCATGTTTTTGGTATTTTCAAGAAAAAAATGGCAGTTTTTAGGAAAAATGGCATTTTTTTCACCGCCCGGAGATGGTGGTGCAGGGAGGTAGTACAGGCGGTGGGAAAGGCATCCTTTTTTTAAATTTTTTTATGGAGTTTTACTATTTTTTATTAATTTTTCAAAAAAATAAAAAAAAATTATTTTTTTTAATTTTTTATTTTATAAATATTTTATAAATTTTTTAATTATTTTTCAACGAATTTTTGAATTTTTTTCGAATTTATTATGAATTAAACATTTAAATAACTCATATTTAAAGGAAGGGTAAGAATGGAAGGAAAAAATAGGTATGTTTCCAATAGGACTAATTTGTTTCTATTTTGAAAAGAAAAACATAGTAAGTCCTATTTTGAGTTTGTCATAGTTTTAGTCCTATTTGGAGTAATTTCTATTTATACTTTATGAAGAACATGCTAAAAAATCATCAAACAATTGCACTTACAACTACCTCAAAATGAAGTTACTAGACGGCGGTCCTACCCAAAAATTACAAATAGAAATACTACTCTCTCTCTCGCTCTATACTGCTATACATTGGCTATAATTGTGTTTAAAATTACATCATAGTGATTACATCGAGTCACTAAAAGTTACTGAATCGTATTTTTATTCACCGTTTTTCTATGAGTAATATTAGTTAATTTTTTTATAATTATCATTATAAGGCATAGGACCACCCTGTGGCATATAGCAACTCTACCCATACGGTTACTGGTCATTAAAAATAACAGGAAAAATGATGGCAATTTTGCTTTGGGTACACACTTATCATACACACACATACACACTATAAATAGCCTAAAAAAACCATTTTTTTTTACCACCTCTCCTACCACACATGCAAAACAACCCCACCCACCCTCCTCCCTTCCCGCTTCTTGCTTTCTTTCTTCTTCCTGCAACAGCACCCCGTCTCCCGCAGCAGCACACCTGCTTCTTGCTTTCTTTGTTCTTGTCTTCAAACCAATGGATTTTGGTGGTATTGTGAACGAAACCATCATTGATACTACCGTGTACGACTTTTGGGCCGATTGGGATCAAACGATCGGTGGTTCTCGAGTTGGAGGACAAATTCTAGTGGCGGCGGAAGTTGACGGCGACTCGTCGGCGGCCGCCATGTACGACGTCTCTGAGCTTGGTATGAGTTCGTTTTGATGTTTGATCGTCTATGTATTTGATTTCATTTGCTTTAAAGTAAATATATATGTGTTTGTTCTTCACAGACAATTAACTGTATTTGTGTAGTGGTTATGTGAATAGTATAATATGTCTGTGTGTATGTTTGAGTTGTCTGAGTGTTATTATACAAATGTGAAGTGTATTGACTTTTGTCTGTGTAAATAAAGTTTTAAATTTACTTATGTATGTGAGTACATGTACTTCTGTTTGAAATGTATGTGTGTAAATCTAATTGTGTTTGTGTGTATATATACTTCTGTCTGTGCGTAAATAGACCACTGCCTATGTGCTTAAATATACTTCTGTCTGTGCATGTTGGTCAGATGGAGAAATTCAGCAAAATGAGAGTGACGTTGGTTCTATAAAAGCTCCGGAGGTTGGTATGGAATTTGATAGCAAAGAAGCGGTGTATGATTTTTACAAAACATATGGGAAGCGTTTAGGGTTTCCCGTAAGAACTAGGAGTACCACCAAACACAAAAATGGGGTGGATATAGTAGGAGTGTTACTAGAGTGTTCTCATGCCGTTAGTATATCTAGTAGGTCAAAAAATCAATTGAAGACTCAACCTACAATGCAAATGGGGTGCGGAGCAAGAATACGAGCACACACAAATTATGAGGGATGTTGGGAAATATAAAAAGCTGCCTTGATCATACCCATCCCATGAGCCCAATGAAGGCTCGCCTATACCGGTGCCATATGACTGTGACTCCCCAAGCAATGAGGCAAATTGCAATCAACGATGTGGCCAGAATACGACTTCATAAGACCTTCAATGCAGCCGTTGTTGAAGCCGGTGGATATGACCAACTTCCTTTTATTGAAAAAGATTGTAGGAACTACATTCAAAAGGTAAGACAACTTAGGTTAGCAAGTGGTGATGCCATGGCAATTCAAGAGTTATTTGCTAAAATGCAAGCTCAATGCCCCGGATTTTTCTTTGTCCTTGACTTAGATGACGAATCTCGATTGCGTAATGTGTTTTGGGCCAACAACCGATGTAGATATGCGTACAAAGAGTTTGGAGATGTCGTCACTTTTGACACGACCTACCTCACGAATCGGTATGACATGCCTTTTGCACCTTTTGTGGGAGTTAATCATCACGGTCAATCAATTTTGCTTGGATGCGGATTAATCTCTAATGAAGATACGCAAACATTCGTATGGCTCTTTAAAGCATGGCTAGAGTGTATGGAAGGACGTGCTCCAATGGGCATTATTACGGACCAAGACCGTGCAATGCAAAACGTCATCCAAATTGTTTTCCCAAATACAAAACATAGACGGTGTTTATGGCATATTATGAAAAAGGTACCGGAAAAAATGGGATGAATTACAGAAAAAAAAATCTTGGATGTTATTCACGAATCGGTTTATGACTCTCAATATGTTCCAGAATTTGAGCAAAGGTGGAAGGACATGATACAAAGGTGCCCTTTATTTCCTAAAAAAATAGACGCATTAGAGAAGCAATTTGTCTGTGAACTAAGTTTATATTCACATCACAGACAACGTATGTGTACTACATAGACAATATAATGTTTGTGGAACTGGAGCTTATTTGTATGATCATGACACAGACGACTTATTTTACTACACTTACATTTGCAATGTACCACACATACACATTAATGTTTGTGGGCACATAACACATTGTATATGTGCTAAGATTGTGTGCCCATTTTAGAGAGGTATTGTCTATGTTCCAGAATACTGTGCAGGGAAATGCTTGCTCAAAGGAATCTGGAGTTGAAGTGCCCTATAATTGTAAGAAAATAAACCATAAGTACACAGACATATGTCAAATTACACAGACAAGCTTTCAGTTACATAGAGACAAACAATCACTCACATAGACATATGTTTTATTTGCACATGTTTTTGTCTTATAGCATTGTGTAGCAGTACATACATCATATTAGTCACACAAACATATAAAAGAGTAATACAGACAATCATATAAGTCTTCACAGACAAATAGAGTCAGAGCCAATTACATATACGCTCACACAGACAAACAGTTAGACAAATCTATCTTCACACAGACAATACATAGGACCTTCAACAGAAATAAAAACAACCTTACACAGACAATACATATTGTTCAAAATCCAAGCAATAGATGGGTTCCAAAACTTCATAAACAATATTATTTTGTTTCACCCTCCAAATAAACATCATCAACTACCCTAAAACCGAAAAAAATTCCAAAAATAAAGGATACATACCTTTCGGCCATGGTTGATAGCGGGGTTCACACCATTTTCGACTGAGACGGGGAGGAGGGTTCGCAGCTTCGAATGTGCAGCGACAACGGTCTTCGACTGGGGTTGATGGGGTTAGCGGGGTGGAGGGTTTCCTTCGACGGTGGGTAACAGGGGAGAAGGAGGCTGGTCTTCGACTGGGGGTGACAGGGTTAGCGGGGTCAATGGTTTCCTTCGACGGGGGGGTTATAGGGGAGAAGGAGGCTGGTCTTCGACTGGGGGTGATGGGGTTAGCGGGGTCGAGGGTTTCGAACGA